GAGGAGAGGAGAGGAGAGGAGAGGAGAGGAGAGGAGAGGAGAGACCTGAGAAAACATCAGAACATCATGGTGGATCCAAGATACTAAACAAACTCTTAATATTGTATCAACTTCTCTTTTTAAATAGAACATTTCATTAAATTCTTAAGAGAAGCCCATAAAATTGATATTTTGCATATCAATATAAATATATCAATATCAACTTCTGCAAAATTCATTTAGAAACTATGGACAATGTGTCCTTTATAATCTACTGGAGAAAGGAGATGGCAAGAAAACAAGTTTCCTTGAACCAGTCAAAGATACTTACGGGGAAATGATGTTAAAAAATGATGGATGATTCAATACACTTCTTGACATGAACTGAATTACACAACAATGTAAGTTTTGAGATTTCAATTTTAAAAGATTTTTATTATGAAATTCCTTAAGCTGAATTAACCATGCAAAAAGCACCTGTGTGCTCTAACACACATGGAAATTCTGCGAGAGAAGTCAACGGATAAGTATACAGTGAAGATAGAAGGCAATATTTAGTCACTACCATAAGCCAAGTCATTGGCATTAAAGGTGAGATCTGCAGCAGCAGAGAAGAGGTTCCAGGGTAAAGAACCTACTTCTAGTCCAATTATTACACAGACCCAAGGCTCTCCTAGTATTGCCAGATGTAACTGTTATTTTATTATTTCATATAAAGTATATACAGTACGTACTACATACTTCTGAAACTTATGCCTCTGTACACTCCTGGCTTCCTGTTGCCATGTGATGGATAAATACTAAAGGGCTGAAATGAAGCCCGCACTAGGCCAATGAGGATATGATCCTTTTCTCATTTCACTCTCAAAATAACTCTGTAAGGTGGCTGCTGTTATTACCATCATTTTACTGAATAAACAGAAGCTTAGAAAGTTTATAGAGTACACGTGAGGCCATGGAGTTGACTCGAGCCAGATTTCATACTCTGGGTGTCTGTTCTCCAACAGCAGCCATGCTGCCTTCTGTCTTAGATTCCCACTCCAATTTTCCAGTAGGATGACCTACTGGATATGTCTCAGAAGCAGAAGGCACAAAATGAACTCATCATGTTTCCCTCAAACTTGTAAATACTGTCACATAAAGAAATAGCACCACTCTCCAAGTGCCTGCGAAAGTCTGAAATCTGAGATTTACCTTTAGTTTTTCCCTCTTGGTCCTCATCGTCCAGCCACACTGGACCCTTTCTCCACCCCTTTTGTATACTGTTCTCTCTCCCCAGCAATCTTATTTATTTGAAAATGGAAGGGCTGTCTCCATTCCCTCTGGAACTACAGTGATTTCTTGGGACTAATGATTTATAAAAAGAGTTAACAATCTTCAAGTAGGGCTGCCGTACAATTACCTGTACTCACAACCAGCTGAATCCTCACAAGGCTCAATACCCCTGTTCACTTATAATTCTCTTACTCATAGAACTTGTAAACTTGACTGCCCCAGGGGTTCTTGACAGTCCCAAAATAAGTAATTAGCTCCATCTAAATTCCCTTTCAGCACTTGTGATTTTTAAGGAACTATGGAACACTATTTGCCTTCCTCAGCAGGTTGTGAGCTTGGCCTTTAGCCTAAGGCCTCAAAACACATCCAATCTGAGGGGCCATCTCATATAATTATACCCTATACTATAAGCTACTGTTATATATTACCCTTCATCAAAGCAAGGCAGGAGAATATTACACCAGCAACAAAAAATGATGGATTCAAGTTGCCAAGTCTCCTATTATGGTCACATTATTTTCAAATGGTTGAGAATGGGCTGGTTAGACAAGTTGGTTACAGAGGAAACTCTATCCAGCCATGGCTGTGGGTTTGATCTCTGTGTGAATCAGCTAAGTCAATGCAAAACAACCATCAAATAATCTTGCAAATACGTGTGGTTATTCTCAAGAAATACAGTCATGTGTTGCTTAACAATGGGATATGACCTAAGAAATGTGTTGTTGGGCTATTTCCTCATTGTGTGAACATCATAGAGGGTACTTACACAAATCTAGATGGGATGGCTTACTATACACCTAGGCTATACGGTACCATTGCTCCCAGGCTTCAAACTTGTGTAACAAGTTACAATACTGAATACTATAAGCAAGTGTAACAAGCTGGCATTTGTGTATCTAAACATATGTAAACATAGAAAAGGTACAGTAAAAAATACGCTGTGCAGATATATATATATATTTTTTTTTTTTTTCTGAGATAGAATCATTCTCTGTGGCCCTTGCTAGAGTGCAGTAGTGTCATAATTAGTCATTACAACTTCAAACTCCTGGGCACAAACAATTCTCTTACTTCAGTCTCCTAAATATCATGCCTGGCTAATTTTTCTATTTTTTTATGGAAAGGAGGTCCTGCTATGTTGATCAGGTAGGTCCTGAACACCTAACCTCCAGCAATCCTCCAATTTGGCCTCCCAGAGTGTTGGGATTACAAGCACAAGCCACCATGTCTGGTAAACTATAGCATTACAAAGTTATGGGGCCAATGTCATACACATATGTCATTAGGGAAGTTTTGAGAAAGTCTGTGTTATGGTTCTTATTCACTTACAAGGAACAGTGTCCTGTTGACAGTGTCCTTTCTGATTTACCTGTGCAAGTTTCAACTTGCTTGGCTTATCAGTGTCGCTGGAAGGGTTTATTTGTTTCCATCCATATGGATTTTACATTTCTCGATTTTTGTGTATCTTAAAACTGTAGTAATGACCTAGCTATGTGGTCTATGGTTGATTAAAAAGTTGTAATGCAACACATGACATGCAGACATGAGGATGGCATTGCATATGAAGGAACTATTTGAACCACACATTCTAAACCTCAGCTGGACACTCTTGCTCTGGAGATGGGCCACCTTGACTCAATTTGTTGCTAGATCATTTATTTACTGGTTGAGTGATTTTAGCATGTTATTTATTGCATTGAGACTGTATTCTTGTTAATCTGTAAATTAGGAATTGCACTGATATCAACTTCATTAATAGTGTTGTGAAATTTTAAAGAAATAATCCATGGAAAGAACATGACAGTTCATCACACAGAGTACTCTAAAGTATTGGTGATTAATTACATTGCTAAAATCTGCATATTTCTTATTATTAAAGTGCTCACTGATATCTGGAATACGTTACTTCTAGTCAATGCAGCCTTTATTTTCACTATGTGAATTGGGTCCAGCAGAAACAATGAGTTCAGTGTGCCATGGACTATTTACATGAATGGTCATTGGCACACTGACTATTCATTAAAATTCTTTTTATTTAATGTCCACTATTGTAAACATGCATAACAGGTCGACTTTTTTGGATGGGATAAAGAAATCACTTACAAGATTTATTTCCATTTCAACATCTATGGGAAATGGACTTTTACCAATAGCAACATACTACCTCTCTCTCTATATAAAGAGAACTCAAGAAAAAATAAAAACATACAATGGACCCCGTAGAACATAAGCCTTGTTGACATTTTAAACTATTAATTTTGATTATATCACTGAAAATAACTTAATAGAAAAAAATTTATTAGGTTGATAAACTATTTGGTAAAGTTGACTTTCCATAAAATAGTTAAGCAAACGAGTTCTTACACAGTTCACAAACTATATGTTTCAATTTTTATTTTTATATCTTATTTTATGTCATAGGCATTAAGTAAAGTACAATAAATGATGTTTTTCATGCTATTTTATTACATTACCTCTTTATAGACTCCAAGATCAATATATCCACATATTGGGTGAAATGCTCCAGTTCCACACGCATAAATGTGAGTTTTGTTATAAGGTTGAAGTACTCTGATGAAATTTGCACATTCTGTCTATTGGGCATAAAAAAATGAAAGCATTAGCACAAAATTTAGGTTTTTGAAATACTATCTCTTATACCACCTGTTTTCTAGGTAGATAAATCATTAAAAGTAAAGAGTACCAAGAAAAAAAATTTACGGTCAATGTCTAGAGTAAACATTTACTTAGCAAATAAGACAAATAAATATAGAAACTGTGGGTTACAAAAGTGAATTTTAACTTTTCTCAAGTTATGAGACTTTTGAACGGACCAGAATTAATTAGAAAATAAATCTCTGTAGTGGTAGCCAATGAGGTCTAGAAAATGGGATAAAATAGAACATAAAATAAACATTTTTTTTTTAAGTGACTGGGTCTTTCTGTGTTGCCCAGACTGGCCTTGATCTCCTTGGCTCAAGCAATTCTTCTGTCTTAGTCTACATGTGTCTGGGACTATAGGCAGACACGTGGATGCTGCCCTGACATCCATACTTTTTTTTCAAGAAGTACGTAGAAAATAAAGTCCATCATGTCCCAGTATTACCACCTATTTTATCCAATATAGCTACTGCTATTTGCAGCATCATCCATCCAAGTTACCCGGAACACAGATGAGTGTTCCTATCCATGTATTCTATCCTTATTGACAAGAATGCCCTACCACTTACTTCCATGTACTTTCAAAAGTTACACAGTCTAATAATTATATTACTTCCTGCTGATTCCAATAATCTCTTCTGTTTTTCCCACAGACTTTTTTGTTTTTTACCCCAGGTCCACTTTTGTGATGAGCTCTTCATGTTTTTCTTGTTTTTCTAATGCTTATGCCTACAAATGTTTATTTACACCCTCATCATCTTTAGAACTTAATTATTTTGTATTTTTGGATGTAATTTCTTAACCATAGCTACATGGCCCAAGACTTCCAAGGAAACACTCAGCAATAGCACATTTTTATTCTAGGTAGACTCTAGCCCGAGTTAAGCAAGTGTTTACCAAGTAAGCTGGTAACCTGTGAAATCAAAAGACATAGAAAAAGTCCAGTTCTCCCTGCTGAAGTGGCTGTGATTTCCTTAGTAGTCATACATTCATCTAATGGTTGCTGTTGTTTTTAGGATTCCCAAGAGGATTAAAAAAAAAAAAAATGGGTAAAGTGGTTCTTAGAATGAAATAAAATTTTAAAAAGTCAAAAAATGACATAACTGATACGACTGCTATGATTTTTACACAGATTAAATGATATAGCATTTAATAATTATTCATTCCTTACCCAGACTTTGACCTACACAAAATATTAAAATACTAGTGGCTGTGCTGATTTTGGAGTGAATGGCTATCTCTGCAAACCTCTGCTACAGCTTCCGAGTTCTTCCTTCACCCAGCTGGCTTGCATTTTGTGTCTCAGAGATTTTAGATCCTAGTTAATAAAATCTGCATAACCTATCACAAACAAAGGCACATTTAATGCATTGAGTCTTCTGCTGTCTGCTTCCTTATTTAAAAAAGTATATACTTGTATAACGGCTGTATGAAATGTCAGTACCAGTCCCACCGTTAGCCACACAGGTTTAAAAAAAGTCTCCCTATCGAGTAGGAAGATTCAGCACTGGCAACAGGACGGGCCCTGCAGAGTTGCTTAGCTTACATGCTGCAAAAAGACATTACGTCTAAGAATGTGCAAATCACACAGCAGACTTTTTAATCTTGGATATTTTCATATGTTTCTGTGTTTTTGCATGTTCATTATACATTTATTCTTAAGAAATAAACATTTTGTAATCACTAAGTTGATTTTCTGGCAAATTCCCCTTTTTAAGAAAATTATATTAAATCATTCTACAAAGAAAAATCTACCTTTTCCATTAAAGTTCCTCACGAGGTGAATTTATTTTCTATTTGCACTAAGGCCCCATAGGGAGCTAGCTTCATGTTATTAACATTGTGTTAGGAAAACGCAAATGAAAACGTAATCAGAGCAATGGTTTGGAACAAACAGTGGAGACACAGTAACATTAGAAAAGCTGAGACAGAAAGTGTAAAAATGTGATCACCGTATAAATTGAAATGATGGCCTCCGGGCTAGAGTAGGAGACTTTAATATTTTGTAGCCTATATTTGGCTCACTTGCACTCTCTGAAAAGACTTATTCTGTGGTCTTTCCTCTATGAAGAGATTCATGCCAGGATGAAGCTATACAAGGAACAGTACATAGGGCAAGAAAGAATAAAATTACATGGCTACTGGGACGTAGGATTGGCTCATGGCCATTTATAATCTTTACTTAAAAAGCTCAGTTTACCAACTAGCCATAGAATTTAGAAAATAATTTTGCAAAATTCTGATAGAAATATTTGCAAAAAGAAATAAAATAACTCCCTTTCCGGATTACAAATTATGGAGTCAGACAGTTTAGAACTATAGCACTGTTTAAAAAGGCAAATAAGGCCAAAGATGAAGTTTTATATATGCAGAGGACACAATTTTAGTAATTTTTTAAAAAAACATTTGGATCACACCTACAACTTTTCATATCCTTTACCTTTTCTAACTAGTCCTGGAAAGTAAACTATCATGCCAGTTTCCGGACTTGATGAGATGTTACCTAGCATGAATTTGTGAAAATCCTTCCTTTTCTCTGATTGGACTAACATGGGATAGAAAAACGTTTGGATGAATCCTAAATTGTCTTAAACAGTTTACAATGTCAGTTCAGCTCAAAATTTTCAATCAGAAAGCTGATAGAGGGTAGTTCTCTAAGCAGCCCAGAGGCAATGGAAAGGCATTGGTTACCGGAGGGGAAAAAACCTGGGAACAGAAGTAAAAGATAAGGTCTACCACTTTAAATTTTGCCTGAGGTGGACATTTAAGCCAAACAATCCTTGCTGCAGAAGCTTTACAGTGACCTCCTTTGTGATGCATAACTTCATTTTTTACGTCTTAAAGATTCTGTATTGTTTTCTTCTCAAGCACAAAACTTCAAGGTTTTGCTTAAATAGCCAGATCAATAATTAACTTGATTTAATTCACTTAGGGACCTGCATGGCTATTAATGGTAGTGTAATTCTGTGAGGCATGAAGAAAGATAACTTTGAGAAGCAGCTTTTTTAATTTTCCCTGAAAGCTGGCTAATTGGTCAGCCATTGCCCACAATGGCAATTGTTACATGTGACCAAACAATTCGGTAATATATTTAGCTTAGGGAAAGAATTGAATTTCTCCGTCCTTCTCTTATTCCACCTGCCTCTCCCTTTCCCACTTGCCCCCACCTCACTCCCATTAAAAGAGGGAAAAAAAGAGAGGAGGGGGAGGAGATGAGAGAGAACCAAAAACAAGCTTTGTAAGTGTCTCAAGTAGCATTAGCTGTTTCAATATTTTATCTATCATATATATTCATCCACACATAAATAATCGAATAAGACAAATGCTGCTCTGGAGAAAAGTCAACTATGTATTAGCCTCTGCATGAACATTAGGAATTTTAGTTTTTTGCGGATACCTAGAGCAATATTAGCAGAAGTACTTCAAGATGAACAGAGTCCAGTGAAACCCAGTAGAGCTTTATATGCTAACCGACTTGCAATTTATTCAGGTTAAATAAGGTGATGATTAGGAATCTGCTCTGTTTTTATTTTTAGTGTCTTTTGCAGGATTTGTGATCATCAACCATTGTTTGTGCATTTACCAGACACCAGTCACTTTGATACAGGTTCGGTTTGCCAAGAAGTTCTCACACAGAAGCCAATATGCAAAGATGTCTGTTTAGGGCTTAGAATGTTTAAAATATCTTTATAAACTGTCAACACTTCAAAATAAATATATGAAAACCCAAATATCACATCTGTCTTTTAAAAATGGATGATCTAACAGTGAAGATTTATACAGATCAACAATGAATTCTAGTAAAAGGCAAAAGAAAACATTTTAAAGAAATGTACTGAAAGATATTCTTACTTTAATATTTAAAGGACTGTAGATCAAATAATTGAAGGAATATTTTTTGAGTAGAACACAAGTGATAATATACCTTACATACTATACACACACACACATGCACACACATATACATACGTGTGTGCGTATGTTTTATAAATCTGTAATCACGAAGAAAAAGGCAAACACTAAAAAACAAGCAGATTGTAGGGATATACTGTTAAAAAAAACAATTTACTATATCAAATATTTAGTATTCATAGTAACAAAGGAATTTCAAGCTAAAACAGCAAAAAGTAATTTTTTTTCTTAGCAAAGGTTAAATATACATATTTCACTCTTTGCCATGCATTTGTTTAATCATTAACTACATGTTGTGTCTGAGCTTAGCAAGGATATGGAGCAGGATGCCCTCTCAGGATCTTGTATACTACTGTTTACACACAGGAGGCATAACCTTTTTGGAGGGCAATTTGGCAATATGCGTATAAAAGCTTCTATGTCCTTAGCTAGACTACTTAATAAGGATGTCGCAATGTTTATACATAAGTCTTTGCATGTACAGCATCATGTTCAATAGTAAAAGCTAGACATGTATTAAACTTCTAACAAGAGAGGACTGGTGAATTAGTGTATTAAGGGAATTCAGTATAGCTATCAAAGGAATGTTATAAAAAACGAATTTAATGACATGGGAAAATGGTCATGGCAGTCTGTGAATTAAAAAAAAAAGTTTCAAGGGACTATATGTGCAATAAGTTCATTCTGAAAAATAGTGAAATAGTAAGATAGCAGAATAAACATCCAAATGTCACCAGCTACCTCTGGGTAGTGTTCATGGGGGAGGGAGTATCTAGAATGGACTTGTTTGTCATTTCTTCCTTGTATATAATTCGCAAAATTTCTACAATAAACACTTTGAATTAAACTCTGCTAAAAATGTAACAAATTATATAATATTAGAACTCTATAGCTTGAAGATCCTTTAACTCGGTGCACTGTCTCTATTGACAAGGCTGTGCACCCCCAGGGTTAAGCTACAAAAAAGTGCTCAGGCCACCTTTACCTGTATTGAGACGTTTACCCCACACTTACATAGTCAGCATTGTATAGGGTAGTGATTTTCTTCTGAATAACTTTCTTCTCAAGAGAAAGAAAGCACTACCAAATAACTTCCTGTCACCTCTTACCTTCCTTGGATTAAAATGGAGACTGTGTTTGAAAGTGGAATAGTGTCCCCTTTGTTTCCTCATCTTCCACTGCCTCTCCACCCCAATTAGCTAACTTACATTAGGGTGAATAATTCACTATTTTGCAGTTATATAGCACCTTTGTGTAAAGAGACAGTCTTTCTAAACTCTTGTTAATCCTAAACACACTCTTGGGAAGTAGGTAAAAATTACTAGAGAGAGGGGAGAAGCAGGGTAATGCCAAAGGTAATAAAAGGTGTCAATAAAACCGCAGCGTGTGCTGGACAAAATCTATGCGATACTCTCCAAAAGGAGGGTCCACATCTGTGTTATGGTGATACTGACCGGGGAAATGATTTGAGAGACACAGCTTTTAGACCTGATACGTAGATTTCACAGTGTTTTGTGAGAGCACAGACAGTGGGGCAAGACTCCTGGATTCAATTCTTGGTTTCACTATTTACTAGATGTGTGATGTTGGGCAAGGAATTTAATTTTTTCTAGCCTTCCTTTACTCATCCAGAAAATAGGGAACAATAATAAAATCTAATATACAGTATTTTTGTAAGGATAGACTGAGATTATAAATGTAAAGCGTGGAAAGTAGCCCCTTCAACATAGTGACGGCTATAAAAAGTCAGCTATTATTATAAATAATAATGTTCTAAAATAAAACATTATTTTAAAAAGGCAAATGGAAAAATGAAGAGAAGGAGACTTGGATTATCATGACAAGATTCAACATCAACCTTTGCAGTCTATAGTAAAAAGAGAAAAGCTTCTCAAATCTCTAATGCTGGGTTAGCAGCAGATGTGTTTAAAGGTTAGAGGGTGGTTACTAGCTTGAAAATATAACTGAATTGGGAAAAAATGTGTTATATAGAGTCCTAAATGCTCAAAGATACAACCTTCAGAATAGTTTATCACCCCTTTTGCTTTATGAAGAGGAACAATTAAGTTACTATATAACTAGAATCGATGAATATAAGAAAGGTAGAACACTGTCAGAATTTAAACCTTCACTGATGGACCGTGAGGGTTTATCTGTCATCTACTCCATGGGAAAGCTGACAGTAGTCTATTGAAGTCAATTGAAAACATCTTTTTCCTACTTGCCTCCTTATCATACGCTCAGTACTGGTGAAATACACACTTTAAAATGTTCATATGGTTATGCCATGCTTCCATTGTTCTTTCTACAAAATACTTTTGAAAACTCTCACAACTAAAGCATTTCCCCCAAGTACTGATACTATTGTAGACCTGAGCACCTGTTCAGTGTTGGGATATTGACCAGGGTGGAGCATGTATTCTAGAATATTTTAATCTCTTTCATTTCCAGTGAAAAAAATGTACAAATTGTTTTTCATTGCAGTTGAACTAACACTCCCTGATATTTCTACTAATATAAATGTGCCTGAAAGGATCATGTTTAATACCAACCAAACAGAAAATCAAGTATAACCACAGCTTTTGTTTCATTTTGATTATTTCGTTTTGTATTGCTATTACCGTATATACCGTCATTTGGGTAATACATGTATTTGCGGCCCCAATTAGATTGAACATTCTATGAGGACAGATACCATATTGGTTTCATATACACATTTATGCACTTATTTAGGCTCTCTAAAAATATTAGTTGAATAAATGAATGAACTAAGCTTAGATTCTCAGCCTTCTGAGTTTCTTCTCAATTCCTTAGGCATCAGGCATCATATTGTTTTACTTCTACCACATTGACAGAGAAATTTTACAATATAATCTATTTGTTATTATTAAATATACAGGAATCTCTCAGCTTAATACATGTGTGTCATTGTGGTTAGAGGTAACATTGGAAGAGATTGCCAAGGAAGCCCCTAAATGTTCATGTTTCTGCCCTAGGTTAGGATGTCTTTTCATCTTGATACAATTCAAGATGTGACTTGTTTGGCAGAAAAAGAACAATTCTCCACATCATCATATTGCAAGAAGTCAATGCAGAATGCAGCACATCTGGCCCAGATCAGAGCAGTCAGATGAAGACAGAGGCAGCTGGGGCCACAGCTCTCGCCTGCACTGCTGGAGACAAAGCGGGTAACACCTTTGGGAACACACAGGACTACCGGGATAGTGCAAACCAATCAGTCAGGACGACACTAAAGATGCATGGTCTCGTCCAACCTAAAAGTTTCATCTGGTGCTTCCGGTAAGGCCCAGACTACTTTATATTAGGATCCCTATGTATCTTGTTTAAGTTATTCATGTCATTATTATTAAGAAAAATTTACAGTAAATTATTTCTAATTGTTTTGCCAGAACATTGTGTCCTTCATTCTTAACCAATTCTTTTGTTATCTCTACAATATCCTCATATAAAAGAATTCTCCTAGGTAAATTAAATTTCAACTCAAACGAAACAAAATAACATTTCTATGTCTGTGAGGGTGAAATCACTGACGGTTCTGTGTACATTTACAAAAAGCTGTATACTAAATGAAAAATATGCATTCCTAGAAAGAAAATATTTTCTGATGGTTTATTTGTGAATATTTTAATGTATTACTAATAATTTTTTGTGAATAATGACATTCAGAATTAATACATTAAGAAGGTACTGTATTACTACATTTCCAGATTTTTTTGTGAATAATACCATTGCTTTCAGGAAGACAGAAATATTTTACACTTTATTAATCTTTACGGAGACTGTGTTGGTTTATTCTTAAAAATAATACACTAATATCATTAATTCCATAACATTTCATGCAAATATTTACTATTACATCCAAACCAATTACACAAAGGTAATTTTTAAAGTTTCATACTTACATTAATGTCTTTCCCAGCTAATTTACATAATTCAACTCGTTCTTTTGCAGCAGGCCAATAAATCTGTAAAACATTTCAAGGCATGTCAAAATCTGGATATCTAAAACCTGTTGGCATGCAACGATTCTAATTAAAGAAGTATATGTGTTAAGTTGAATAAGGGATCTCAAGAATGTCATGTAGAGTTACTGTGGGAATTTTGAGACTTAAATATTTTCCCATACAAACCAGAAACGTGTCTACAAGAAAATTACAGGGTCATCCATTTTTATTTGTTAATCTTCTAGTGTCTTTTTCAAAGTATGTAATAATAGATAATTTATGTATAGAGGATCATATAGCATATCAGGATATCGACAGAATCTCAGATTAGCATTTTCCTAAAGAACAGGCTCTATGGGCCCTAATTTTCTGTGTTTACTCCGAGCGATAGTGCATCACAAACATGTGAGAGGAGGTGTTGGAACAGTTCTCTGCCACATGCGTAAGTTGTCATTCCCAGACAAAAACTAGTGTGATTTGCTGACAATATTTAACGTGCACGGAGCTCAGACGTGTCTGTCACTTAGCAAAATATTTTATAAGACTTATCTTATTTAAATTTCACAATAATCCTATGAAATGGATCTACTTACTCTCTCCACTTTCAAACCAGAAACTTAGTTACATAGCATTTTAATAGCACGTCAAGGAACACATAACTTCTGCATAGCAGAGCCACAAATTTACCGCAAGCCTATCTCTCTCCTGAACTAGGGGTCTCAACCAGTACATAATAAATGTTATTTGGACAAATACTTAAAGTAAAGCATATCAAACTCATTGATTGGTAGCTTTTAATTATGCTTAATTAACACTTTTGAATTTATCAGGAAGTTTTTTTTTAAGTGAAGTTTAGTTATTATGTCACGAAGTTTTACAAAATAAGGTTTAAACAGTCCTGTTACTCCATTAGCTTAAAGAAAAAAACAATAGTCTGTTAAGCTATAGGCAAGATGAAACAAGAAAAGCAAGCTCTGAGTTGCTTAGAACATATGCTCCAAGAGTTCCTGACAGACTTTCATTATGTTTCTCACCAAGGTTAGCAGAAAATGTTTTAATGGGGGAGGGAAAAAGAAAATATCCTGAGGGAATACACTGAAGAGACTTGTTAAACCTGGAATTAACAAAGTATTGAGAAGTCACTGATGTTTATGTGATATGATCTTCATAGTGAAATTTTAGGGCTTTCTGCCTCTGAATAAAGAACAAAGGTAAGCACTCAAAACTTTCATACTAGAAACAATGGAATTAGTTACTGAAATTTTAAAATGAATCAAATTGTTCATTCAGAGAAGAACCCACCATTGCAATCCAAATGTATATATAGGCAGGGCAGTTAAGCCAATAGTAGCTGGAGTGATGAGCTAACCCAAACGTGGTCCACAGTAAGGACCTAACAATGCTATCATTTCAGAAATGGTTTAAATCACTAATGTTGCAATTGCACATAATTTTAAATAGTAGCCAAATATCCATGAACTACAACAATGAAAAGCAATATGGATGGGCCTTAGCAATTCATTATTAGATGAAAAAAGAATATTTCCCCAAATTAAAAACAGCAGGATCCCCTTAGAATAATACCAAACAAGTAAAAGAAAAAATATATATTTCATATATATACAAATGGATTTGGAAAAATTGTTACCCAACATGGGGTAGGAAGTAAAGATTAGCTGGTGAAAAGAAACAGATTATTTAACAGCTCCCGAGATTTATTTATTAGTGTTAAATTTTCAGGTATTTAATACGTGATCTAAAACAAGCAATGAAAGTTAGTAAATTGATACATCAAGATGGGCCATGCATGGACCAAGGCAACAGTCAGTGAGGAACCAGAATTATGAAGTCCTAAATAAATGAATAAAAATAAAAAGAAACCTTGCAGTCGGACACAACTTCAAAAATTTAAGTTTTTTGTCTTTTTTTTAACCACTGGTCCTAGCACTATTGTATTGTGATTATTTTCTCATTTAAATGTAGCATCTTGAATTTATGTAATCTTGGATTCATATTTGAGCTTATAAACTCAAAGTATCCTCTCACTTTTTTTCACTGACTCTGTTTTTATCATCACTTTTAGTTGTAGCAAAATACACATGACATAAAATTTATCATCTTAACTATTTTAACTATCTAATTAAATAATATTAAGCATAGTCACATGGCTATGAGAACAGTCTCCAGAAATTTTCATTTTGAAAAACTAAAATTCTATACTTGCTGAATCTTAACTATTACACGGATTTTATAAAGGACACGATTTGTATTATTCAATTGCAAATAGTACACAGGATACAGATCCATGATCCCTCAATTAGTTAAATCTTTAACTCATTGTCTTTGCCTTCTAGTCTAGATTAATATTTCTTTGAGTACATCAGTATGTCAGGTCTTGTTCTCTCTGTTTTAGATGATAGATTTAATAACACTTTAGAAATAAAGTTAGGAAAATATATTTATTGATTTCTTCAGAGATCCATGTCTTACTAGCATTAATATTATAAAATAAAAAATATGGAACCATTTTCATATTAAATAAAAATGAGTCCTAAGGAAGGGAGAGAGCATCACAAGTTTCTATTTTTTTTTTTTTTTTTTTGCCTCAAAAGGAAATCAGGTGATTGAGCTAAAGTGAATTCTGAGATACAGGATGTATCCAAGACTGAGTTTGAACATGTTCATTGATGCTTCTAAAAGGCGGGAGTTATTTAAAGAAGGACAAAATGTGTAATCAATCTTTAACATCCTTTTTGAAATCTAAATGAAAGTTACAAAGTCAACACTGAGTCGTTACTGTTCATGAAGGGTCATCTGTTAACCAGGCAAGGTGTGGAAGTGAGGTGTAGGAGTCTGAGTCAGGAGTGGGAGAAGCATGTCCCTGGAAGGCTCTGGAGCAAGAGTAGAACACACATGAGGCAGCCACTGTGCCTGGAAGCATTAAGGAGCACTTGGCACTACACAAGTCTTTACCGGGCTCTACATTGGAGACGTTGTTTTAAATAACGTGCTCTTCATAGTTTGCTAGTTTCAGTTCTAATTTTGTCTTAGACACTTGAAATTAAATAGCTATTGCACATTTTTTCCCTTATATAATTGTAATTTGAGTTGCATGATCCTGGTAATACAACCAATGACCAGCTTCCGAGAATCAGCTTTATGATTAGCAAATAAATGCGCTGTCAAGATACGCAAGCAATGAGAATTCGTGGCCTCTAGAGACCAATTTTACAAATCTTCTAATCTCTGTTTACATTAATATCACAGATTAGTCCTCAAAATGTTCTTTCTTTTCTTTACTCACTTTCAATATCATAATGTCTAGATCTGAAAAAAATATATAAATTATCCTTGAATAATTTGGATCATAGTGCAGAGATTCTGAAGTACTATCACAAAGACAGTTTTACTTCTTAAATAACCTTAAAACCTTCAAAATAAGGCTTTATTGAGATTATTTATTGGCTTTTTTTGACACAGTGCTGTCATGAATTCCGGAAGCACAAACAGAATTATCTTAAATAACAGCAACCTATGAAATATCTGATTGTCTTCCAGACTCTAAACATTTACTTAGAAGAGAAAAAGAATCATTGTAGTTGTGCCAATATTTGAAAGATGTCATTTTAATTATGATTTATGGTGGGATTTTCTTTTACAAGCCACCTAGTCAGTAGAACAAAGGACTTTTAAAAAAATATTCCTTTGGCTTCTTAATTGGTAAAGAATTTAAAGAAACAGAGTTTTCCTTAATTCAATCTAAACACAAAAAAGCAAGACAAAACAGTGGGCTTTTCCCTCCTCTGTTAAAGAATTTATTTTAGATCCATTATACTACACATCATGTTTTAAACACTGACATATAACTCCCTAATAAGATAAGCAATGACAAAAAAGTTTATGTTATTAGAAACAAGATACACCATCACTTACTGTCTTCAAACACTGCACTTCATAATTTGACAAAGCTTTCATGAGACAAGCTGCAGACTAGTTTTAACAGACAAATAACACCTTTAAGCAGACATGATCGTCCTAAATTATTTATTAGGCATGAATTTTACGAACATTACTTCTGTTAGTGGTAGCAGTTGAGCTGGAGAGTACCGTGTTTTTCCTAAGCTGCATGGTGGGAACCACCAAGAGGATGGTGGCAGTATGACCCCTTCCAAGGTCACGGCTCTTCCAGCCTACGAATGTCCGCCCACACACTTCCCTCAGCTTGTGGACTGGTTTAGTGATCCACTGGGTCTCAGGATCTCTTCTGATAGTTTTATGGAATGGGTCAATGATGATAACCTCAAAAAATGTGTGCTTGGAATCTTCACCAACTCAGTAAGGATTCAGGACTGTTAGCAGCCCACCTTGGCATCCAGCTCACTCCTCGGCAACAGACTGAGGTTTCCAGCAAACTGTAGCAGGTTAACGCCAAGATGGACAGGTTTGCCATAGGTCATACCTTACGAACGGGGCATTTGTGGCCACCACGGCGCACGTGAATCCTATATCTGATGTAACCTTGCTTAGCCTTATATCTGGGTGAGGTGGGGGCCGTGTGGAGCGCAGAGCGCTGGCGGTCCTGCCAGCTGCGGACCCTCAACAGAAAGGGCCCTACACAGACGGCTGCTTCCCCCACAGCTCCTGATCTTGTTTGCACCCACCTTAGCTCACCTGATGGCTAGAGGAAAGGCCAAAAAATGTTTAAAATGCACCTTTATTCTTATGTAGATTTAGCAAAAATGTTACAGTTTTAATTTTGTTTTTCAATAGTCTTTGAAGGACATATATAATGTACCATATGCATACACATATGTGTAAAAATGCCTGCCACTTCTGCCATGGTTTTCTATTCCGTTTGCGTGTGTAGATGTGGGGGGGGGGAGTTAAAAGTGAGATAAATAGACACAGGGACACATACAGACAAAGAAACACATAAAGGGCAAGACAGGGATATCACCTCTGAGTTAGGATAATACATATTTCAGACAGTCTCTAGTTTCCTCGTGGTTTGGACAAAAGTC